CGAATCTGTGGGATCAGGGTGGGTTTGGTGCCTGCCCACTCCTCTCCAGGCCTTTCCCAAGGCGTCAACACAACACAGCGAGGGTCTTACCTGCAGTGAACTAAGACAGGCTCACTGTCCACTCTCAGGGACCTCACATAGTTTACAAATTCCAGAAAGTCCGAGGAATCATCAGGCACGCCGTGGTCGGGCCACGCGACGTACTGGAGATGCGTCAGTGTGTGTTCTTCCCCTGTCTGTGGAAGACACGGGGGCCACTGTGGGTCAGTCTAGGGAGATGGTGGCCACGAGGGCCCCGGCCCCATCCCAGACACCAGCCAGCGTGGGCCTGTCCCTGTCCCTGATGCCTTCTCCCACCACACAGCCCTGCGGAGGCTGCTGCTGATTCCACCCCCGAATTCACCCTCCCACAGGCTGGCTGCCTCCACCACTTACGCCTGATTTCATCCATTTGTGTCTATGAAACTTGTCATTAGGGCCAAACACACTGGCTCTTTTTATTTGTATGTTTATTATGGCAAAATATACATAACGTGAAGTTTACCACTATAGCCATTTTTAAATGTTCAGCAGCATTAAGTATATTCACAGTATTGAGTAACCATTATCATTATCCATCTTCGGAATCTTTTCAATCACCCAAACATACGGTATAATGTCTGTATATCCCCATCCTCCCCTTCCCCACCCCCCACCCTCTCAACAAGCACTGTTCTATTTTTGTCTCTGTGAATTTGACGAGGTACTTCATAGAAGGGGAATCCTATGGGGTGTGTTTTTGCAGCACCAAGCCAGGCCTGGGAGAAGGGCTTTGTTGGTTGAGACTGAGGCTTGGGCGAGACATAGTTATAAGGATTGTACCTAACAAATACAATCAGTGTAACCTAATTCTTTGTACCCCCCAATGAATCCTAAACAATTAAAAAAAAAAAAAGAGACTGAGGCTCAAGGGGACTGAGTTATTTGGCCAAGGTCACAGAGCTTGCCAGGGACTTATTGCACTTCCCATAGTGTCGAGCTTTGTCCATGCTGCATCGTGGGTCAGCATTTCCTCCTTTGAAGGCTGAATGATATTTCATCGTACGCATATGCTGCATTCTGTTTACCCAGTCCTCTATCTATGGACACCAGGTTGTAGCTACCCTTGCCTGTTGTGACCAGCACTGCTGTGGATACCGGGCACTGGCTCTCTGACAGGTGGTCCTGTGTGTTACCGGTGTGCTCAGCAGGCCCAGGTGAAAGAAAGAGAGGGCAGCCCCAGAAGACTGACCCACCTGGGACCACAGTGGCTGTCCATTCAGCACCTGCCCCTCTACTGTGCCCCCCTCAGACTGCTGCTCACCTCGGTGTTGGTGACCAGCATTTCTCGAGACACATAGGCGATGGTGCAGTCTTCTGACTGACACTGGATGTGAAAACTGCCGTGGTCCATGACGTCAGGGGGGTCGGGCCAGTACTGGTGACATTTGGTCTGTAAGGAACCACCAGCTGTGGGTTAGCCTCCTCTGTGGGGTCTGCATCCAGCCAAAGGCCTCTCAGGCACACTCATGAGCGCTTGGGCAATGGTGCCCGGTTCTGTGCTCACTCTCGGGGAGGGTTGGGGGGCAGAGGAACCTCCTTCCTCCTCGGGAGAGTGGTGCAGGGGTCAGCCTCACCCATCAGCCCTGGGTGAAGATGGGATGGGGACTTGTGTTCTTCCCCACCTGGGTCTGCTCACTGGGAAAACAGCAGAGTCCCACTCAGACATGGGGCTTTGGCTTATGATCCACGTCTCCCCTGACCTTCCCAACCCCCAACCCATTCCACAGGTCCTTCCTTGGCCCCAAGAGCTCCTGCCCCAGCCCTCCTTTGCTACTTGTCCCAGCCCTCCTTTGCAACCTGTGCCAAGTCCTCCTGAGGACGGGGCCTCAGGGACAGGGGTGGAGGGCAAACTTTGGGGTGCCAGACACACCACTGCTGGAATCACCACCTCCTCCACTCAGATGGTGGGTGATTTTGAACCATGCTCCTGAATCTTTGCATGTTTTCCACCTGAAAGACGGGAAATGGCACCTGCCTCAGGGCTGGAGACAGAGGCTGGAGGTGTGCTGAGCCCTCTGTAGGGCATGTCGGCAGTGGCCTTTTTACTGCTGCGGCTCTGGGCTCCCTATCAATGTGTAAGAGTGATCAGAGATTCCACAAGATCCCAGATTAAGAAAATGCCTCAACTGAGGCGAACATTTCTTTTCATTGGAGCAGCATCTCTGAGGTCCTCAAATGCCTTCACAGATGGTGGTGCATGGAGCTGGTCCTCCCCACACACTGGACAAGGAACCTGGGCTCTTCCTGCAAACCCCACGGTGCCTCTCGGTGTGGCTGTGGTGTCCCCACCACCCTCCCTATTTTTCTCCCCCCTTCCATGCTCTATAGCTTGTTCCAGTAGCCATCTCCACGTCCATCTCTGACTTCAAAGCAAACTTCAGAGCTAAGCTGTCCACTCCATCACAGCTCCTTCTGCTGGTCAAATCCTGACTCATGAAAAACTATCTTCCCCCAAGCCTACATACAGTTGTGCCAATTTAAATAAAAAATTACATTTGTTTATGGTGAAAATGGCATAACAAAAGACATGGAATTTTTCTGGAAACAGATTTTCTATTCTTATTTTCTTTT